AGTATTGTCTTTCTTCCCCACTCCTCTCTCTCTCACTCTCTCTCTCTCTCTCTCTCTTTCTCTCTCTCCCTCTCTCTCTCTCTCTCCATTTATATGTTGAAACGCAACACATCGAAACCGCATTTGAGAAGGCTGGTCGCTTCATTAGCCGGCTTTACACTTTCGTAATTTTTCCATTTCCCGGCTTGGCCAGAAGACTCCAGCGGGAACGGCGCGCGGATCATGTTGCCCTGAGTGCGGGCGCAAATGAGAATCCCATTCCGCGTCGCGGCGAGCGCGCACCGCCGGGATGTATAATTCGAATGCGCAAGCCGTTTAACACAACTACGGGGCCTTGTAACGCTAATTCAGCGAGTGCGCATTACCGTCTGCCGCTGTGTCCGGCGTACGGAAACATTATGCAGTTAATAGCCCGTCAATGTCCGCAGAGAAATGTGCATTTCCGTGTTTCAACGCGCGCTCGCGACAATCGCGACGTCCGATATTCTCGAAGCGCGTATTTTTTACGCTCCTTGCCCCTGCCTTTATTTGCCTGTGTTTATTCGAGTCTTGTTGTTGCAGTCGCAGAGGATCCAACAACATTTTTCTCTCTCAACAGGGAAAATATTTTCGCTTGAAAATAAACCGCGCTGGGAACATTTTCGTGGTGAATGCGGTCTCGACTCGTTTTGACTCGGTTATTGCGCCGTCGAGGCGAACGGAGGAGCCGCCCGTGCGTGCGGGATAAAACTCGCGCGTGCGAAACGATATACGAGACACTGATTCCTTCCTTTCCCCTTTTCTGACTCGCTCACGCTCGCGCACATTAAAAGTGTTATTTTTTCGTGATCAGTGACTTTTTAATCGCCGCGCGGACAAACCGCCTGGTTGACAATCACCCTGAGATAGAAATTAATCGAGGCGTGCTGTAAAGCCAAGTCTGTAAAGATTCTAGCTAAAGATGTCCGAAGTTAGGCCTGCCATCATTGAGTTTAGATATGGTCAGGAAAGGCAAATTCGAAATGGAATTTCGTAAGTAAACCTTGAGTAGTCACTGACGTGAATGTTCCAATATAAACTTGCCTTTATTGGGCCTAGACATGGCCAAGAAAGGCAAATTCACGGAAAAAAATGATTTGCTAATATATGGACAAAAAAAATATTAATTACAGAAGCAAATTTTCTTGTTTTCATAGCAAAGTTATTTAATTAGTGATAGCTAAAAGATTTGTTAATATATATATATTAGCCGGACACTAAATAACTTTGCTATAAAAGCAAGAAAATCTGCTCCTGCAGTTAATATTTTTAGTTGTCCATATATTAGCAAATCTTTTTTTTCCGTGTTCGAAATGAAATTTCGTAAATAGACTGAAATGGATTTGCCTTTAAAATGCCTGGACAGAAGTGAGAGAAAACTGTCTAGGCCCTTTCCAGGCCCCGTTTTGAATTTCTATTCGGATGTCCGTATCTGCAAATGCGCTAAATTAGGACAAGTGCCCGAAGGTTGAAACTTATGCCGATACTCGGTCAATGCGCTGAGTGTATTAATAAAAACGAGCAATTCGCACAAAAGCCATCCGACCGTATTTAATCTTTATTAATCTTTACTTAATCTTTAATATTTAATTTGTACTTGTGTTACGAACGCGCCCCTTTAGCTCGCTTATACTTGCAGAGAAGAGTATCTTCTCGCAGAGGGAAAGATAAATACACCACCTTCTTGACTGATACGATGCGATGAGGGAAGACGAGAGTAGTCGAGAGAAATCGCGAGAAAATTTGCAAGAATCTTATTCCGTGGCGACCGACGGCAGCCACGTCGGACAACCACTTCGACGTTATCTATAAATGGCGGCCGACCTCTCTAATGAAATCACGTTTACCCGAGTCAACGCGCTCTCTTCATCGCATAAAAAAAATCGCAGAAGAAAAGGGGACGGTGAGTTCGAGTGGTGTCTGTAGGAAAAGATAGAGTTCTAACCATTTGTCCCTTGTCTGACCCTCAAAATGGCGTACTTGTGTAAAGACGACTCGTGTTGGTGAAGTGCAACGCGGGCATCAAGTGAAAAGTTACCTTCTTCATCATTTTGTAGCATGATTGTAATAAATCTTGATATGTTTCAAGTTTTTATTATTACAGGTGCCGTAATGAAATTTAATGGATAACCAATAGCAACTTATTAAACGTAACGCTATTGCGTTAGATCTAAATTACATTCTTAAACCTTATTTGTTTTGTAATAAATATAATTGATTTATAATACTACATAAACTGTGCTTGGCTTTTAAAGACTCAGCTTTTTCATTCCGTTTGTTTTTCTCGTCAGAGTTTTTTTCCTAATATATAATAAATTATATCAAGCGGGACGAGTGGAGAGAAGGGCAGTGAAGCCCTTCTTACTAAAAATGTAACGACATGACGCGACGTTGTCGATCACCCACCTTTCTCCCATCTGGGATTACTGTAAACCAATCTTGGCTCTGTGAACCGTGGGCTGAAGTCAAATATTTTAACGAACTGGCCGTAATTTGAACTTATCTCGTTAAAGTTCTTTGATTGTGTGTGTATGGTTCCGCTGAACTTTCCATCAATTTCAATATTGAACGAATACAGAAATATGCCCTTTGCTCTCGTAAATAACCTTGCACGTTGAAATATGTATTTTTAATATTTCACAGCAAAGTTAATAAGTTAATGTAGTTAATAAGTCAAATGCACTTGGTATACGTGAGAGACAGCTGCAATTATATAAAATTGTCGCGAGAGAGAGGAGACATTTTCTTTTTCCATTGTGTGTGTGCAATAATAACACTGAGGTATTTCTCTCGAAGAACTGGAGAAAATTGTGCAACGACAATTGCGGTGGAACTTCCATTAGTCACGTCTTTTCCCTCTCTTGATTCAGAGTTGTTCGTAGTTGTTCGATCATGTAGATTGAAATTTTATCGAGCCCCGTCTCAAATCGAAGCGTGCTCGGAGATAAGCTTTCAGAGTCGTGGCGCGAGCCACCAGCAGCGCCAGCGTCACGGCAAGAATCGGCAAAAATTGGCGTGCTCGTCCACAGCTCGGTGCTCGCTCTTCGCTCGGCGATAATTGCTAAATGAAGTCGAGCGCTGTTAAAGCGACCGCCAAGAGAAGTTACGACCTCGCATTATTTTTCGCAGCACAGGCTACGCGCGGGATCGATTTATCGGCCGCAACGAAAGTGGAAATAAGGAAGAAAAAACAGCTTCCTCCTTGGTCTGCGAGACCAAAAGAAAATACTGGACGGCCGATATATCTTTAGAAAAAGCGGGAAAGCCGGCGAGCATCACGTGACCTTTGCAAAAATCGATACTATCCCTCTCCCGTCCCTGTTATCTCACACGTCTGCGTGACGTTGATGAACCTCTTAATCGCCTGTCTGCATTTCGGATTCCCACCGGCCGATTAACGGAGAGCTCAACAGCAAGCTGACTCCCCCGTTCGCGATGAGGTAGAACGCTCGAAAATGCAACGGCAAATGCTCCATTCGCTGTAATCTCGCGATTTCTGACATCGAAGGGAAAGTCCAAGGGAAACTCGACACTTTGCTACGTGTTCGTGATTTCAAAAAAGAAAAGGAAGCGAAGGTACACAGAACACTCACATTGCGTATTCAGTATCAGATAGACAGATCGGAGATTCCAATCTCATCTTCAATATTTAACGAGATCTTCACTAGTTGGCGGAGAGAGAGGAGACCCGCTTCCCTCTCACAGTATCGAAGAGCAGCATTTAACGTTAATTACGCCGTTTACGAGGAGAATCGCGGAGCACGGTGCCATCGTTCATTTGACGAGAAGTAGATTCTGCGAATCGAAACGTTCTCATTAAAGCGAAATTTCCACGTCGTAAAAAATGCATGCTGCATGCATCGTGCAAATCAACGGGCCACGGGCGCCCTCGAAACACGTCATTCCGAAGTGCGAAATAAATATCGCAAAAAGCGCGACGCGGCGAGCCCGTCTTTATGTCGGGTCGGGAACGGCTTTTAAACGTGCGGCACACATAAACACACCATATTCCCGATGCGTACAAATGACACATTAGCCTTTGACATTAAATACATTAGCATACGGTAAACACTATTGGATTATGTGTCGCGTTCGAATGCATCGTCGAGAAGAGCTAAAGAGCCTGGGAATTGTTTTATTTTGCACATCGCGCGTCGAGACCTCCGCGCATCGAGGTGACCGTCTCGAAAAAGAAAAGCCAGCAAGATAATCGATAGTCGCGAGACTCCCCTTTTCAAGATCGCGACTATATATATATGTACATATATACATACACACAGACATCTATTAAAGTCGTTTTAACGCGGATGTTACTGAAAAAACGTGACTTGGCGTTACCGAAAATTAGAAACGGTGGCAACGCGTTTCACGAAGCTCCGGTAACTTTTGGTAACAACTCGACAATCGCGATTTTTATTCCGCTCATTCACAGAGCGGGGTAGTTCTGTGAGCGCAACGGAAGCGGAAGCTCGTTCGTTTTGGTACGCGTGGAAATTTTTGTACGCGTACGCGCGCACAAGTTCAAAGCTCGACTTGACAGCGCGTACGGCGCGAGTAGGAGATCGCGTGCGACAAAAAGCTTAAGCGGGGTCTATAAAGGGTTATCTACAATGGAAAATCGTACGCTGTAGCAGTAAGAAATTGACCAATTATACTAGATTTTTATAAGAATAATTTTTATAAGAAGATTGTGATTGGTCAATTTCTTACTGCTACGGCGTACGATTCTCCATTGTAGATGACCCCTAATGAGAACTTAAGCCATAAAATTTAAGCTTTAGCCGTAACTTAACCTGAAGCCGTAAGAAATTGACCAATCACAGTCGATTATTTTCTTTATATTTGATTATAATTGGTCAATTTCTTACGGCTTTAGGCTTAAAGCTTAAGTTTTATGGTTTAAGTTCTCATTGTAGGCTCCGCTTTACGCGTACTTAAGTACACACGCCACACACATATACACACAGTCCACGTTGCGTTACCTGTTTATCCGGCTCTTTGCCTTTGGCGGTGATGAGTCGATCGCAATAACAGCCCTCCAGTAGAATAACTCCACTGGGCCGCGAACAGGCTTCGTTCTCGTAATAGAATAGCAAGTTCTGTAACAAACGGACGTTGAGAGTTCACTTTCGCTAGGACGAAGGAATGAAAAAATAATATCCCGTAACCTTTCGTGAGAGGTGAGGAGGGGGACGTAGAGAGCGGAACGGGAAATAATAGGATCCCTTGATATTTGATCGCGCCTCCGCTGACTGATATATCGTTGCCCGCACAGATGTGCGGATGTCTCGGCTATCCATTATTTAATTCGGGAGTTCGGAAAGTATGCGGTACTTAATTTAGACATTTACTTGAAGCCTTTATTGTTATAAGATTCCGTAATGTGCCTCGAGCGCTAAGAGAAAAAGATGTCTGATCACATTCAGACCACTTCTACTGCGAAAGAAAGGGACAGAGAGAGAGAGAGAGAGAGAGAGAGAGAGAGAGAGAGAGATAGGGGCAGAGAGAGAGAGAGAGAAAGAGATAGGGGCAGAGAGAGGAAATAGATTTAATACAAAATAGCCTCTTCTTATATTCGTTTTAAACCACTTCAATATTATGTAATGTGAAGTTATATGAAAGAGAAAGAGAGAGAAACTCGATGTGTATAACGTAAAATATTCTGCGAAAATATTCTGCAATATCTTGTATTTCCGCAAAAAATGGCAGCGTGATATATTACATCGAGTGCTTAAAGTTTATTTGACTGCAACGTACACATTTTGTTTTGCGAATACGTAATATGTAAACGAAATACGATTTAACCTCTCATAATTGAAATTATATTTTGTAACATCCAACGCGAGACAACGAAAAACAGAAACCTATCATCGCTCAGCTAAATGGAATATGATATCATACAAATCCGCTCACACGCGATGCGTGTTGTGTCAATATATGTGCGTGTGTCGCAGCATAATAAAAGCTGTAAAATAATATCGTCCGAGTTGCATCGAAGCATATTACCGGACGCGTCATGTTGCTCGCGCAAGACTCGCGAAACGCACCACGCGATTGGGGGGATGCTCTCGTTTCATAAAGCCAGTTACCGTCCTGGGCAATCCGCCAGGATAAAATTGGCGCCGCTGATACGCGATACAATCCCCGGAACGATTTCGCTTTATCCGGACACGACTCGCGTTACCGGTGAATATCCACGAGAGATATTTACGAGGCGACGAGAGCGATTATGAAATTTCGTATCGGCACACCGCGACATTGCATCGGCTCGTCGCGTTCCTGCGCGACGATTGCGCGACGTCCGGATTTCACATCAATCCGACACGGATGACGGAGATTTTCGCGTGTGCGAAGGGAATTTCACGGGGAAGGTAGCAGCGAACAGCGGCCAAAGCGGCTGCTCAGGTATGCCGGTCGATTAATAAAAAGCGATTTGCGGTAATGACACTTCGTGTCCCGCGATAAAGTTTTATGAAATGAAGAAGATTCCGCTCTTTCTCTCCCTCCCTCTCTCTCTCTCTCTCTCTCTCTTTGTATTCTTGTTTCATTTTGTTCAATTATATTCTCTCATTATTTTTAATTATTTTAATTTTTCTTGATTTCTTGTTATCAATGTTATTACTTGTTATCAATGTTATTACTTTTCTAAATAAATTTTTATCGTCTTTTCAATGCATGCTTAAATTTTCTTATTTTCTCTGATTATTAATTGGAACTTATCCTGTTCTCTTTATTTTTACATCTGTAACTTTATATCGTGTACTACATCAGCTATAATATTCTGTTTTTTTTTCCATTTTTACTATACTTTTATATATGTACTAAGCTCCTACTACTATATGCCTGAAGGGATTTTATCCCAAGACTTAATCTCTCTCTCTCTCTCTCTCTCTCTC